GGCTCTAAAGACGTTACAGTGGTCTAGCTATACAATTCTTAAAACCCCAATTATGTTGATTGATTGTCTAAATTCAAGAGTTTTGGTTTACAGTTCGTTAACGTTCTGACCTTCTCTATGAGAATGAACTTTAACATAATCAAGTTAAACTTGCTGTCGAGTTCCTGCTGATGAAGTTTAAAAGGATGAATGAACCATAACTTGTTTTTCGGAAAATAAACAAACCAGAAAAATCTGCTGTCTGTCACTCGAGGGTCACCTCGTCTCACATCCCCAGGGATGTAATAGCCAGGAAGGTGACCTATGATCTCGTTTCTCTCCAGAAAGCGAATCATGGTGGGTATGGCAATTTCTAGGAAAACTTTACGCTCGTAAAACGTTTCTGAAAGGATGGAAAACGCTTTCGCGTGCTTTTGAGGTATGTATAAGATATCTGAGCGACCGCTGAAGCATCGCAGTGTTCCGTTACTGTTCTTAAAGAGAGTGTTTAAATGATATTTTACGTTGAGTTTCTTCGGCCCGAAGTTCATGTTCGCGACATCTTCGCAAGCTCTTCGGCAGTTGTTCAAACCGTATGGCGAAACCCACCAGTACCAATTGGTGCTCGCGGGCTCGTAAACCGGAGTTGAACCGAACGAAAACGACGATTCCCAAATCTTTTCCCGGTCAAAGTCCGGGAAATTCCAGTAATTCAATATGACGTCATCGCTGATGTAAAAATATCCTTTATATCCCGGATGTTCTCTTATTGCTCGACCAAGGCATTCGTATCCCAGAATGCCTTTGTAGATATCAACCGTGAGAATACCTGGACGCGTGGTGTTGTGGGGCGGACCGCAGAATAACAGATGAGGGAAAGCAGGTTTGTACAGAGCAACAAGATGAGGTATACTGTCGTAGAATGGATAATTGTAGACAACAACGAGTAAAATGTCTTTAAAAATGTTCTTGAAACACGGGCTGGTATTTTCCTTATTAAGCTGACGGCTTTGATTTGGAGCAGCCTTGTTAAGAGAGCGCAGATCTCGAGGTTTCTCCACATTAAGGTTTCTTGTGCAACTGTAACCTTAGATAAAAGTAAGAGAAGGGTCAAACACACAAGTTCGTTCCCAGGGTCTCACGGTCTTAAATCCAAGACGGTAGATGGGAACACCAGGGGAGTCCCTGGAACGAGCGTAACATTAAGAATCATATTTATTTATCAGTAGAACACAAGTTCTTACCTGAATAAATTGTCAGGATAACCATAGTGATTGCACACGCAAGACATAGCAAGAAACGCCTTGATACCGAGCTTTGTGCTGACATGCAGCCGGTGACATTTTTCTGTGAATAAAGCAAAAGACAGTGTTCAGCATTCAAAGGTCTAAGTCTCAGTTCTCCTTACTGAATTTCATACATTTCTTTTAATGTTAGTTCTAAGAATTTCGTGGTCAATCAAAACAATATTCTGGCCTTGGCGGATTATTCGTTTATAGCCTTCCGGGGAGAGAAGGGTACGGTGTGTGGGGTAAAGTTACATGTGAGATGGGCTTTGATACTCGTCGTGTCATTTAGGGGTACAAATTTGGGCAAATTGGTCTAACATATGTGGATATTGGTTTCACATAGGTTTTCAGGAGAGTACGCCAATGTTTTTACCCATCAAGGTATCTGCAAGTGCCGCGTATAAAGAAATAAAGGAAAAACACGCTGTCATACTGTGTTGATAGTTAGATCAACCAAGCATGAAATTTTTAAATTTCTTTGTTGATAAATAAAAGCATTCGAGAACGGTGCCCTTGCTTTCATGTAAGTTGCTGTAGCTTTTATATGCCTGCCTGCTTTAAATCCGTTCAGGGGCCTAGATGATATTTTATGGCGAGCATACCTGCCCCTACAATATGGGAGACCCCGGGGTCTTGATTACTACTAGTCCCCCATCCCTCCTGCCTTTCTGTATATGACAAAGCGGTACTGTGGTCAGTAGGGAGAGTTTGGCTATGGATCACTCTTGGAAATTTAACCTTTAATTGAAATCAATTTTAAATTCTACTGTCTCTTTAAGAATTATTCAAACTATGATGGTACCCATGGGGGGAGGGGGACAGGCGGTAGGCCTAAATACAGTCACTTAAATAAAGCCGCTGTGAAGCTAAGTTGAACATCAAATAAATTTTAGTGATGAACACACCATGGTCACAAAGCCGTTTAGCACTGAACAATGATAGTTTCGGTCAATCAATTTGACGGCAAATCTTAAAAAGAAAAATTAATTTTTAAATCTGTAATTGAAACGAAGTGACTGCCGTAAACAGTTATATTTATCGTACCTTTATGGCTTCCAGTTCTTCTCAGGATGTAGCGAAACTTAATTTCATCTAGCGTCTCGCGACCCGTTTGTAAACTGTTGACCTGCTCTAGCTACCCACAAGGCTTCAGAATTCAGGTGGCCACAGTCTTGCCGGCCGCAGGGCAGCTTGGGACCTCTGGTGGCCGATTGTCTGCCATAGAAAATTCCTCAGTTGAATTTCGCCATTTTAAGCGCAATTATGTTTTGTCGTCTTTTAGCGCTTTCAGTCTCAGTTGCAACAGTTTATAATAATCATTCTCCTTACCAGCGTTCTTACATTTCGTTTGACGTTAATTTTAAGAATTTAGCTCCATATGTTTATCTCCTTAATTCGGGGCGCAGAGTCCAGCCATGTTGTAACTCTTAGCTCACCGCGCCTCCCACAACTATCTGACTAAAATATAATACAGTAGTTATCAGTTTTGTCCACTAAGAAAAACGGATATGAAAGACTTTTTACTGGCAGATTTTAATTTCCACCGTGGCGTTGAAAACATCCTCAGAATCAGCTATAAATGTCGCCTTACAAAATGATACAGTCCTTTTTTTGATGAAAGCGAAGAAATAATAGCAACAATTCGGAAATTAATTTTAAGGGAAGAAATCAGCCGCTTCTCTCTGATTTTCCACTGGAATAAATTTCCGAGAAGTTTGTTCAAAAAGACTTGATTTGGATGGCCCATTTCAGTGGCGGAAGCAGACCTTGAGCTAAGGAGGGGCCCGGTTTTGTTTAGCTTGCCCTGCCAGCTTTTCTCCCTTCTGTGATTTTCTTTTTTTCTTTTTTTTACCCGAAATAAGGGGGGCGCCCCTTCCCTAGATCACCCACTGCATTTTGTATCAAAAGCCGAAACCAATTAGCATCTATCAATAATTCATATGATAAACGAAAGTTTTATTCTCACTAAAGCTAGCAGAAGTTAATTCGATGATGTTAACTTATTCCCCAGGGAAAATTTGTCCGACGAGTGTTTCAAATACTCGTAATAGTACAATTTAATTTGCTCAAATTTCAAAAGAAGAACTTTCTATCAAACAAACTTCTGAGACTTTAAAATTTCGGAAAAGTTAAATAAAGTTCCTTATATATGGCCCTGTCCACAATGCGTCGAAGAAATTAATTTTTGAAAAAGGTGTTTTCACTCTGAAAACATATCAATTTTTTTCCGTTCATAATACACCGGAGAAATTTGAAAACGCAACAATCACCGGTCATTTTGGAGTTGTACTTGAGGAAAACTCTAGCAGGGAAATCACACGATTTTCGTGATGTCATCGCTTTCAAAAAGCTTCATATTCAAAAAATTTTCCGTGTACACTAAAAGCCGGTGTTTTCAAATTCCTCCGGTTTAAAAAGCGTTTTTTGAAAACTCCGTTGTCGTGACGGATTAATGTGGACGGTATGCGGCCTAACCGTAGAAATAAAGCTGCGTTTTAAAATTCCTCCGGTTTAAAGAGCATTCTCGAAACGCTCCTTTTCCTGACGGATTAGTGTGCCCCGTAGAAATGAAGCCGCATGTTCCGTGTTCACTGAAATTTTCTCCGCCAAAGTGTCGACGGGGCGTAACATCTGCTTGCTTTCGATTGCTTCGCAACGTTATAGCTTGTTCATGTGCCGAAATGTGGCAAGACTTTTAAAATGTCCATGAATAAGGTTGATCGTCCGACTGATTTTAATTTAAATTGAAAACACATTTTTTTCTAACTTACAGTAGAATTAAATAGAATCAACCTCTGTTTTTGACTTGTCTGTTATATTGATACCGTCAGACTAATTTATCTTTCATTTTTTTAATTTAAAATATGAGAATGGTTGTCGGTTTGTTTAAGTTTTGCGATACTTCTGCGTTTTAATACTGAAGCTGTCGTGTATTTAGCAGATTTTTTGTGTTTGCATCGATTTCGCTCTGAAAATATCATGTTCACACGATTTAAAGTGTCAAGGGATTTACGTAAGTAATGAGACAGCATTTAACTTATATAGAATTCCAAAAGTGAAATACACGTGCGTAGATTTGGACAGGGCTTAAACTAGCATCTTTAAAAAGCCCAATAAAACACTGTTTGGGATCCCGACACCGCAAGAACACGCGTGAGATAAGACAATTGACATGGGCGAGAATCTCCAACCCAAGCACATTACAAATCGATAGACTATTCACAAGTGAAATACACGTGTGTAAATTTGAGAGACGGCCAGAACTAGCATCTTTAAAAGATGTGTAGATTAGGGGGAGGGCCAAAACAAGTATCTTTAACAAGCCAAGTAAGAATCATTTGGGATCCTGACACCAAAAACGCGAGTGTGCCGCATCGCTAAACGTGCAAAGAAACGCGGGGGAAAAGAAAATTAACATGGGCGAGAGTCTTCAACCGAAGCACTGTCCAAATCGATAGAATTCCACAAGTGAAATACACGTGTGTAGATTATGGGGAAGGCCAAAACTAGCATTTTTAAGAAGCCAAGTAGGCGTAGCTTGGGATCCCAACACAAAAACGCGAGTGTGCCGCATCGCTAAACGCGTGGAAAATCGCGGAAGAAGAGAAGAGAAAATTGACATTGGCGAGAATCTTCAACCCAAGCACTGTCCAATTCGATAGAATTCCGCAAGTGAAATACATGTGTGTAGATTTCGGAGAGGGCCAAAACTAACATCTTTAAAAAGCCCAGCAACCATCGTTTGGGATCCCGACACCAGAAACGCGAGTGTGGCGCGTCGCTAAACGTGCAAGAATACGCTGGAAATAACACAATTGACATGGGCGAGAATCTCCAACCCAAGCACTA